TAAAGCTGCACGAAATCAACCCTATACAGAGAAGTGTGCGTAGGATTGGAGCATGCATACACTCCTTTTCCAGTTTCAAAGCAAACGAAAGGAAAAACAAGAGAGAGAAAGTGAGGAGAGAGAGGGTCAGTAGGATTAGTGGGTTCATCGAAAGGTCGGTTTCTTTTGGAGTGTAAAAACAAGCACTCGATTAGGGGAGAGGGGGAGAGAGAGAGAGAGAGAGAGAGAGAGAGGAGAGAGAGGAGGTGCTCTCAAAAACTCAAGCTTTGGTCCGCGTGCTTGGAAGAATGAAACTGATGTGTCTTGGTTTGTGCCAAAATTAAAGCCCCACTAGTTGATAAAGAAGATCCTTGGCAGTGCCTCTCTGCAGTTTTTGTTCCTTGATTTGGGTTTCTACTCTGGACTGTCCTGTGGGGGTCCTCCTCGTCTGCTTTTGTTCCCCTCCCAACATTGGACTGGACTGGATTGGATTGGATTGGATTGTTTGTTTTCTCATGGGATTCTCACAAACGGATTTCTCAATTCCTTGGATTTTCAGATGAAAAAGTGAGAGATTTCTTGATTTGGGGTTCTGGGTTTTACATTAAACATGTTAAAGTTCAAATCTTTGGGGTAAAAAAGTGAGAAATCCGCAGAAAGAAAAAAATGATGGGTTCGGTTGAGGAGAAGCTCAAAACTGGATGCTTGCTTGATGAGATGAAGCTGCTGAAAGAGCTGCAGGATCACTCTGGTTTGTTTGTTCTTCCCTTTTGATTTCAAAAAGTTTAAATCTTTCAACGTACCTTTTTAATGTTTCCTTAATCAAACGGCATTTTCGTTAATTGTTGTCGGAAGTTTGTTAAAGGTTGTGTCTTTGCTTTGCTTCAGGGTCCCGGAAGGCTATAAATTCGGAGCTGTGGCACGCCTGTGCCGGCCCGCTTGTTTGTTTGCCGCAGGTTGGGAGTCTCTCGTACTACTTCCCCCAAGGACATAGCGAACAGGTTTCGATTTCTTGTCCGAATATCTGCAATTGAGTTCTGAATTTGTTACAGCTTCAAAGTTGATGTCTTTTTGTTTGTTCCATGGTGTCCGAGGAAACTGATAAGGGTTTTGTTGTACGAATGTAGGTGGCGGTTTCGACGAAAAGAACAGCAACCTCACAAATCCCCAACTACCCGAATCTCCCGTCTCAATTGCTATGTCAAGTTCAAAATGTTACACTGCATGTATGTATTTTAGCAGATTGTCACTTGTTTTCTGTACACATGAGCATACTGTCAACGAAGTCTGAAAAAAGAGCGATTTTTAACCGTGATTTATGTTTACGATAGGCAGACAAAGAAACTGACGAAATCTATGCACAAATGATCCTTAAACCAGTGAATTCTGTAAGTTTGATTACTAATGTAATCCTCAAATTTATCACATTTGTATCAATATGATGAACAATTTATCGTTCGATCAGGAAAAGGATGTCTTCCCGGTATCAGACTTTAGAATGAAGCCTAGCAAGCATCCATCGGAGTTTTTCTGCAAAACTTTGACTGCAAGTGACACAAGCACGCATGGGGGCTTCTCCGTGCCGCGTAGGGCAGCAGAAAAGCTCTTTCCTCCGCTGGTGAGGCTTTATTTATGTCCATCCTTTTTGTAATTGGGAAACCTTAATCAGAGGAGGATGTGGATTTACAATTTGCTTGTAATGATTCCAGGATTTCACAATGCAACCACCAACCCAAGAACTTGTTGTCCGAGACTTGCACGACAATACCTGGACATTTCGCCACATTTATCGCGGTGAGAATGCTTAAGTACTCGTTTCTTGTTTTGATTTTTACATACATCTGCCAGCAATTCGTTGGATTACTTACTGAGTATAACCTGTTTTTATTCACCTATGTAGGGCAGCCGAAACGACACCTTCTCACAACTGGATGGAGTGTGTTTGTTGGTGCAAAGAGGCTTAGAGCAGGCGATTCCGTTCTATTTATCAGGTACATTGGAGTTGCATCCTAAGCGTTGGTGCTATGTTGGCCAAACACTTGCATATAGTTCACGTTTGTAAGTTAAACTGTTGTCTGATTGAATATTTTTCTCACTATCACAAGGGATGAGAAGTCACAGCTCTTGATTGGTGTGAGACGAGCAAATCGTCAGCAGACGACTTTGCCGTCATCAGTTTTATCTGCTGATAGCATGCACATTGGCGTCCTTGCTGCTGCGGCTCATGCTGCATCTAATCGAAGTTCATTCACTATATTCTACAATCCAAGGTTTTGATGACGCGTGATCGCGTTCTTATTCATACTTCATAGGCGTTTTTCAAATTCTTTTCTTGACTGTACTACTATTTCTACTCAACCATAGGGCATGCCCTTCAGAATTTGTCATACCTCTGGCTACATTCCAGAAGGCTGTATATGGGACACAACTCTCAATTGGCATGAGGTTTGGAATGATGTTCGAGACAGAGGAGTCGGGCAAGCGCAGGTAATGGATAAAATCGTCTGTAACTTGTTACAGAATCCAAGTACCTGTAATATTTTCAAATGTGAAATAATGCAGAAGGTTTCAATATGTTCTGCGGAATACAAGAACACCGTTATCAACATGATAATGGTGTGTTCATCACTTTAAGGGATGACGGAGGTTAACATGTTCCTTTATCTCTGCAGATATATGGGTACGATAGTTGGTATCAGTGATTTAGATCCGCTGAGATGGCCTGGTTCGAAGTGGCGAAATCTTCAGGTAGAGTGGGATGAGCCAGGGTGTTGTGATAAACAGAACAGGGTTAGTTCATGGGAAATCGAGACTCCGGAAAGTCTTTTCATATTTCCTTCTCTGACTTCAAGTCTTAAAAGACCGATGCACTCCGGATTCTTGGGTAAGCTTACTTTCTTCTGTTTTCCAGCAGGCAACTTTGTTACATGTTTTTCTTACAACTGTTTCTCGCGCTAACAGGAGCAGAAACTGAGTGGGGAAATATGATCAAGAGACCTTTCATCCGGGTTCCTGAGATTGGAAACGGGAACTCTTATCCATACCCGATTTCAAATCTATGTTCAGAACAACTAGTCAATATGCTAATGAAACCTCAACTTGCTAATCATGCTGGAACATTTGCTGCTCTACAACGGGAATCGGCCTCTAATGCAGATTCAGTAGTAGATATGAAGGCCATGTATGCCAAAATCAACCAAAAGAATCTAGCTGATGGCGTAAACGCAAATGCACCATCTCATGAACTTCCACCAGGAAGGTTGAACGTGGCAGCTAAGTTTGGAAGCCAAACTCCAGTTGGAAACGGCACTGAGAAGACGAAATTAGAACCTGAATTTTCCGCGGATCAGTTAAGCCAGTTGAATTCTGTAGGACATGGCATTGAGGATAAATTAGCTACTGGGTTCGCGAGTCCTTATAGCCATGTGAACCAGCTTACATTTGCCAACCAAAACCAAGATGCAGCGCAACTACAAACTAGCCCGCGGCCTATGCAGCCACCTTTGGAATCACTACTCTTCCACTCACAAACGGATCTACCTCATTCGGATTTCAATGGCATGAACAGTTCACTCCCATTCCTAGACAATGATGAATGCATGTTTTACTCATCTTGCCAATCCTTTTCCGGGGCATTGAGATCACCGGGGCCTTTGTCTGCATTCGGTTTACAAGAGTCTTCAGCTGTTTTAACTGAAGCAAATAATTCCTCCCTAACTTCAATCGGTCAGGACATGTGGGATAATACCCTCATTAATTCAAGCAGCTTGAGAGATTTGTCTGATGAGAGCAACAATCAAAGTGGGATCTATGGCTGTCCAAGCATTGATGTTGGTAGCTGCTTAAGTACTGTCGTCGACCCTTCTGTTTCAAGCACCATACTCAATGACTTTTCTACGCTGAAGAACTCCAACTTCCAGAATTCGTCGGATTGTTTGGTCAGAAACTTGAGCTCAAGCCAGGATCTTCAGTCGCAGATTACCTCGGCAAGCCTGGGAGACTCTCAGGCTTTCTCCAGGCAAGACCTGGCAGACAACTCTGGCGGTACATCCTCAAGCAATGTAGATCTCGATGAGAGCAGTCTGCTGAAGAACAGTTCGTGGCATAAAGTGGTTGCGCCCGTGCGAACCTACACGAAGGTATGCAGTTTTATCGAATTGAATCCTTATTACAACGATTTTGACTAGGTTCGTAGACCTCTCACATGAACTTAGAGTGATGAAATTGGTTATGGCTGACAGGTTCAAAAGACGGGATCCGTTGGGAGGTCGATCGACGTTACGAATTTCAAAAACTACGAAGAACTATGCTCTGCAATTGAATGCATGTTTGGACTGAAAGGGCTGCTAAACGATCCAAGAGGTTCAGGGTGGAAATTGGTTTATGTGGATTATGAGAACGACGTTCTACTTGTCGGGGATGATCCTTGGGAGTAAGCAAACCAAAACTTCTGCCATAAATTTGTGTTGAAACATTATACTGGTACTTCGATTCATCTCTGATCGCGGTCATTTGTTAATAATTTTGCAGGGAATTCGTTGGTTGTGTTCGCTGCATCAGAATCCTTTCGCCTACGGAAGTTCAGCAGATGAGCGAAGAGGGCATGAAGCTTCTGAACAGCGCTGCGATGCAAGGGATGAACGGCACCATGTCCGAAGTTGGGCGTCCTTAAAATGGCCGCCACTGCAGCTACAACCGCACACAATGGCCCGGACAGGTTGCATGTTAGGGCTTGTAACCAGGGTGCACTACTAGGGCAATTGATGTGGGTGCTAAAGTACTTTAGCTTTTGTGTTTTAGGTGAGGTTTGATGTACTAATAACCGACATTAATTAGCAGGACCTGAAAGATGGTACTTTTAACTCTTGTGTTTCGTAAGATTTATATATCCTCTGCTAAACACGAACAAGTTTTACCCGCCGAAGCATTGATCTAACCGTCGAACGAGTTTATCTGCTAGACTGGATGATGGATTCTTCAAGTTTTTAGTAAGAAAGACAGATCAACGAAGATTTGGAAGTGGATGCAGATTTGAATGGTAAAATACATCAAATATCGGATGCTATAAAACAACAACCAAGCCTTAACCCCGTGAGGTTGGCTGTATGAATCATAGAACGTGCAGTAATACATAAGAGTACACCATATTCTTTCACTTCCTAACAATTCACCGTCATAGAACAGCACCTACTACTCCCCTCAAGCACAAAATAACAGATGCAAATACCTTGTAAATTACAGAACAGATTCCATTCGCTACCGCCAGCTCTTATTGCGATGTTCAAGGAATTTCACAAGGTTGTTGAACGAATGAACCAGCACAAATTCGTGCGGGTAAGCAGATAGAACATCAAATTTTGGTTTACTTGATGCAGTATCGTGCGAGAAGTACCTGATCATCAGACTCTAACCGGTTTCTGCAAAACGGCAGACAAATAAATCTCCAATTTGCCTGACCCTGCCGTATCTGCCTTCTCCCCGACAACCCATTTGAGCTTTTTATATCCAAACCGCTCGATCAACCTGGTTAAATCTCTCTTCTTTTCATCATCCGAGCAATAAAAGTTGTCCAGCCATAACAAACCTCCCGCCCTCAAAATGCGATCGATGTCAAACATCAAGAACTCGAACTTTTCCGGTTTTCCTCCAACATCCAATCCACTGGCGGCATGGACCAAATCGAACACATTATCGTAGAAGGGAAACGTATGATCCAAGCTCAAAAACAGAGGGAAAAGCCCTCTTGCAGCTATGAATTCGTTAAACGGGGCTTCGATATTCAGAGTGTTGGTGATCACAGTCACGTTCCTCTCTGCCATTCTAGCAGCGAAGGTACCAGACCCACCTCCAATATCAAACCCTATTCGGATTCCTCCACTCCCCAAAGCTAAAACATCATCAATGAGGAAATCATTCTTGCTCCTAGCCTTGACAAATCTCTCGTTTTCGGACCCGTTAACCAAATCGAAACAACCAACGCAATCCCTACTCAATTTCTTAGCATTCAAGCATTCAAATTTCTTGCATCCAAGGCCGCTCCAACTCACAATCTTATCACTAACAGGTTTCCAAAGCGAAATCGGAAAAGGGTCTAAACCCACCTTAGGAACCGCCTTGGCAAAGCACCTCCGTCGCGGCAGAGGCTCGCATCCGCGCAGAATCAGCTTCTGGGCAAGGCTCCAATCGTCGGGACAAGGCCCGGAGACCTTGTAGTTCATGTACTGTGACAGCAAGCCGGCGGATTTCTCGCAGGAATGGCCGACGGAAGCCACCATTTCCGTGATCCCGGTTTTCGAATCTTTGCCGAGAGGGAGCGAGTGGTGCTGGAGGAAGACTTTGAGCTCGTTCGCGATATTGGGATTAGAAAGATCGATGCTTTCGTAGCCGAGGAGCTCCTTTTCCATCTGGGCAAGCTTCTTTTGCGACGAATCAATCTCGCGGAGGATCAGAGCGACCTGCTCGGAGATGAGGGAGATGTTCTTCTGGGTGTGGTGGAGGAGACGGTATGTTTGGTGGTCTTTCGGGGAGTATGTGAAGGCGTAGAGCGCGAAGAGGTTGGTGGTGATGACGGAAAACAGCATGAGGAGGTTGACGGCAGAGGAACAGAGCGATGCTCTTCGGAATCTGGCGCTTCCGTCGCCGATCTTGAGAGAAACAGAGCCCATCTTGGCGGTGGGAGTGAGTGAGATTGGTAGAGTGATTTGACTGAACAAGTAGAGAAGGAGAGGACACTCCGTCGGTGGGGTGGTGGAGAGTAGGATTGTTAAGTGAGATTAGAGAGTGATTTGTGAATTTAAGACAGGGTTAACTTTGTCAAAGAAACAGGAAATTGTTGTCGGCTGCGATTATAAGGCTCCAAGTCTTCTGTTCCATTTTGTGGGAAAAAAATTCATTATGACCGAAACATGAGTGATACGTTTTTATATAAGTGGTGTAAAATTTTATTTTTTAAATTATTAATTTTTTAACACATATATTTTACTATTTGTATAATAATACGTGGTGTATCATTTGTATTTTGATCAGACTGAAAAATCTCTCCAATTTGTGTGTCTCTTTACTAATATTTTGACACATATGCTTTAACTTAACTTAAACTAATTTTGTTATCACTTAATATTATGGTCTAGTGGTATTCCTCTTCAGAAGTCTTACATTTGATTTTCGTCAAAGACGAGTTTGAAATATATTATTGCTAATTCATTGTGAGACTAAGCTTACTTCATTTCCAACGTAGATAACATCGTTTATTACAGGAAAAAAAAAAGCAAACTTAAAATAACTTTGTTAACTTTTTTATTTATCATTTGAAAATTAAAAAAAAATCTAAAACCTGGCATTCACTGCGCCCGAGGGAGCACAAGACGAAAGGAACCAAACAATCGTAAACCATCAAGACCCACATTCTCGAATCCGGATCTTTGCTGGATTTTTTTTGTGAGTGTCCTGAAGATTCGTAAATCATATGGGTGGATTTTTTTGCCAAATTGCCATACTAACCGAATTGGCAACCGTGCCATACCGATTTTGTGCCAAATTTTTTGTGCCAACGGTAATGGTACGGTATTGTACCGTACCGAAAGTTCGTGGTACGGTATTGGTAATGAATACCATTACCACGGTATTGGTAATGAATACCATTACCACGGTATTACCATACCGTACCGAAAATATAATATAATATATAATTATAATATAACACATATTTATAAATTATAATATATTTTCTTTGTTTGTAAAATGGTTTTCAACTTTAATTCTTCTTGATACTAATATGTTTTCTTCGTTTGTAATATAGGCTTGACACAAACTCAATCTTCTACAAGTTCAATGTCTCCTCCAAAAGCTTCGACATCTTAAACTTGAAGAATTGATCAATGAATTTTACCTTTTGAAGTTTAGTTTCAATTTTCCTTTGGTTTGAAACTTTAACTTCTATTTGGATTGTTAACTTCTATTTGTTTTGGTTTGTAACTTCTATTTGGATTGTAAGCTTAATTTTCATTTTGATGCATAATTTGAATTATTGTGTGTGTGAATTATGAATGATGAATAATAGATGAATTTAGGCTACAATTTAAATTACTGCTTTATGTTTCCATTCTTTGTTTAGGCTTATAATTTTCAAGTAATTCATCAACATTTCATGCGGCTGTAAATCCATTTGAAGGTGGAAATCCAAAATCCATTTGGGCACTTGTTATGAGAATTTTCTTCCGTCTATTCATTTGGTTTATATATCTTTGTCTTATTACAGAGGTACAAAATATGAAATGTTGAACAAAGCAAAAACAGATTTTGTCTCAAAATAAAGTGACAATTACCATTGCCATACCATGCCAACCGAACATTTGGCAATACCAAACTTCGGTATACCGAAAGTTTGGTATGGTAATGGTAATAGATTTTACCAAACCGAAAATTTGGTACAGTAATTGGTACGAGAGTTTTGGTACGGTAACCGTACCGAACCCACCCCTAGTAAATCATATATCGTGCGGTTAGAAATTATTTTAAATATTTTTATTTAAAATTAAATATAAATCGTACTTAATAAAAACGGACAACATAATGTACGATGAATAAACACTATTTACATATTTCCAGAATTCTTACCCAAAAGGATCCTGTTGGCACATTCTCATCCTCGTCACATTATACGTCTTCAATGACGTAGTACTTATTGAAGCTTTCCAATAACAAAGATTTTGTTTATCTAGCATTAAATAGCAAGAATTTTCCTTCTTTGGAGGGGTTGTGGTAAGACCAGTGATGTTTCATGGCACAGAATTTTGGGCATTGTGTTAAGGTGGAAGAGTGTATCGGGTGTGTTATGCGATTATCTGTCACTAAAGTTTAAAGGAAATTTTTGTAGGACGACAATAAAACTTTGACACGTAATGTTGGGTGGTCAAAAAGCAACATGTGCAAAAAATGAGGTAGCAAGATGAGATGTTTTGTTGGATGTATGAGCACACAAGAAAAGATAGAACTAAGAACGAGGATATACGAGTTAAGTAGGAGTGACCACAGTTGAAGATAAAATGAGAGAAAATCGGTTGAGATGGTTTGGACACGTGAACTAAAGACCTATAGATGCTCCAGTTAGAAGATACGACTATAAAACAGAGGCTCAAGACATACGGGGTAGAGGAAGACCTATGAAGACTTTGAAAGAGGCTAGAAGAAAAGATATGGAGTATTTGAAGCTAAAGAAAGACTTTGCTCAAAACTGTGTGGAATGACGTTCTAAAATTCATATAGTCTAACTTATTTGGTGAGATAAAACTTGGTTGTTGGAGGGGTTGAGGTAGGAGTGCAAGTTGGATTGGAAACTACAATTTTGACTCAATACACATCCACTTGGAACATAAAAATTTCAATTCCTAACATTCTGAAGAAGAAAAAAGATTGAACAGAAACCGAAAAGTATACAGAGATTTAGAAATTTCAATATATTCTACAAAAAATTTTGGCCACAACTGATACAGCAAGGGTTGAAGTTCCGTTGAACACTTAGTATATGCAGAAAGAAGTTGCCGCAACAGATCATGACATGTAGGCTTCCATGGGGAAAACTCTTAGGGTGAGTAAAACAACAAATTAAACAAATGTTGACAAAATCTAGCTCAAAGGCAATTTTGAGCCACACTAGGAGGCTCCCCAATTGAAAGATGTACATGCAGGAAGTAGTAGCTACATTAACTGCTGATCTCCCTATCCAGTTTCATTCTCTTTGCCTTGTGCACCTCCGACACACTACTACCTCTTGGCTGGGACGATGCATCATGCTGGAACGTGCAATTTGCTCCTTTGTTGCATCCCCTTGAACTGTTGAAGAATATGCAAGGCTTCATGTTCTTGGGCTTTGAATCTCTCGATTTGTAGTTATTATTGGATTCTTGGTTTACCGCTGAATGGTCACTGTGTCGATTACCAAATGGTGGAAAGTTGTCATGCCGGTCTCCTCCATGTTGTTGAATCAAGCTTTTATAATAGTTGATGTCCTTTGCTGGTGGAGGTGGTCCAACAGAAGGCGAAGAATGAACTGGAATTCCTGCAGGCGGAGGTGGTCGTGCATCAGGAAAAGGTCCCATATTTGGTTGAGGATAGAAATGTCCGCTTGATGAAGGTGTGTTGATTTCTGTCCTGATCATGTGAGATGGATCTGATATGCCCATTGGAGGTGGCCTTGTCATTGGTTGTGGATCTGTAACCAATTGCTCAATCATTTTCGGGTTGCTGAGAATCTTAATCAGCAATTCATGGTCAATCATATTTCCGTGCTCGTTGCTATTCACAATTGCACCAAGGGCAGCAGCTACAACATCAGGTTCTGCTGCAACAGGCATTCCAAGTGTTGCAGGCTTAATGTGGTTTCCATTGTTAGGAATATTGTTTTGAGATGGAGCCAATATTCCCTGAACTGATAGAAAGGGCTGTGAGCTTGTGGAATTGTTAAACGGTACCATGGATTCAGATGATGTTTCAACACTGGCATCTTCGTCTTCAATGGGGGTAATAGGTATGATAAGAGGTTGCCCACCAGTATGACTAGAGTCTTCAACATCTGCCAAAACAGAGGGGCTGTACACAGAAAAATAAAATTACCGTTCAGTTCATGGGTGCGTGAAACTTTAACCAAAATTGTAGAAAGCAAAGTAGGTGACAAACTTTAAAGGAATGGCAGATGGCCGTGGATAAACCGCTTCCAGTACTCTTATCTCTCTCTGATTTTGAATCTCCACCTCTTTGCTTTCTTCCCCAGAAACCACTTGCCAAGCGAAGTTCAGCACAACCTGTGAAAAATTAGTATAATTAAAAAAAAACTGTTGTTAACTAATATTTCATACTGAAACAGTTTCCAATATATATTTCATTGGACAAGATTAAAATCTCAAGCCAAAGGTTTACTTTACCTTAGGAGGGCATCTCCATTTGATTAGAAGAATTTGAGACAAGTCAATCTGAGGCTGATTCGCTGGATGCGGTCCCTCAAACCCAGGGGGTAGAGTGTCATCTGAGCCTGTTCCAGATGAATGTGACGGCCAAGATGGCTTCGCTTGGAGGTGATCTTGAGCGCTCAGCCCAACCTGTGAAGGAGATTCCTCCAAGAGAAACAGCTTTACCTGTTTAACAGAGAAACATCAGTACAATAACCATTTACACTAACATTAATAATCAACATCGTCGATCATCATTTTTCACAAACTTCTTCAGAATGTGGAGCTCACAGGGAAACTTTAGAAATCTTTGGCATAACTTCTCCTTCAAATTATAACAGGACTGAAATCTTAAAGCAAATTATGAAAATAGAAGTGAAAAAGAAAAATGCACAGATAAAAGAAATAAAGATCACAGAAAATCAATTAAACTATACTAGAGATAACGTGAATGCATATCAGTACATTCAATCCTGCCCTGCCCATCTCCACCCAGTCCCTTGTAGTAAGTTTATTAAGATTGTACTACTGGACACATATCAATTCGTATATAACTCAACAAAAAACTGATTTTGCATGTTGGATTTTGCTAAACTAAGATAGGGCAATGAACTAGACAACCAACTTCTTCTTAAAACCAACTATTTCAACCAACACTAATATGACAAAGTTCAAACAATAATCAAACCGCGTCTCATGATATGGGGTTGAACCCAAAACCCAAACTAGCACCAAGCATAGCTCTTGATCTCTAAGCACACTGCCACAAAATAAAAAATACAAAAGATGCATCGCTTATCACACTCTGGGAGGTGATATTCATGCTAACTGGATGCCCATCCAAGACCCCAACGACCTTTAGCTTTGCATGCCCCAGCAGATAATGTGGAAGTTATCTTAAGTATTTGGCCCTCCCAAGTTGGAAGCGGCTCAAGTCTTGGGCTTATTCTCCTCTTCAAACAAAAAGAAAAGGAACAACTTTACAAAGAAAATAACAACGCACGCACTTCTGAGTTGCTTAACTTCATGCTTATGCAATGACACATTAAATTCTTGTAACAGTAGAACCCAAGAAATTTTGAATAGAAGTCCCCTAGTGATTCAACCTTTCTCAAACACAAGAACCTCTACATAATTTGTCATGACAAATTATCACAGAAAGACTATTAACAATTCATGAACACAACTACAGCAGCCAACCAAAGGCAATCAATTCAAAAAGATAAATGCAGAAGTGGCCATTGTATTCTAAATTTCTAATGCATGTCGACCGAAAAACCTTGACAAAAAGTTTGGAATGGGATACTCACAAGAAACTCAAGTTTTTGGCCCCTTTTCTGATGGTTTTAGAACAAAATTCATCCACTAATCCAAATAAAGCTATTCAATGAATGCAGCAGCAACGAAGTACACATCATAACCAGGTTTACGATAGTGATTATGCCATCAATCTTCATCTAACATTATGAAACTACAATTACCCCACTATTCTGTTGTTCTTGTAGAACCTTTTTCAGCAGGAAATGAGAACACTTCTCCAGTGAAAAGTCGGTTGCAAAAGACCATAAACTTATAGTTCCTCAAAAATATCTAACCTGCATATATTTCTTATTATCACCTTTTATTCCCTGCATGGCCAGTTATCAATCAACATTCTCAAAGTCACTCCAAATTTAATGAAAACTACTTCAACAAGTAGTTTGTGATTTTCGCATTCTTTTAAGTGTATATTCCTTTTAAACCTCATTGCACATTCTCTTCTTTTAAAATTATATTGGAGAAAGGGCCACCAACTTGGGCATTCTTCAGAAAAAGTTTCACCGTTGGCCTTTTGTAGATAAGAATAATCTCACCTTCTTCGTCATAAGTTGCTAATATTTCAAAACTTCAAGCCACTTTTTTCTCAAAGAATGATGGATAGTTGCAATGATCTAGATATGGACTTGGTGTTCAATGTTCATTCTCCCCCTAAAGATCGTTAAGTGATCCTATGGTTGTTCTTAACATTGTTCCAATTGATTAATTCATCAACACGGCACCAAGTTAAAGACATAAACTTCAAACCTCGCCTTTTCAAAATTGACAACTTCACGGAAAGATGGAACATAGATTAGGCGATAAGGGCTAACCTTGTTTCATCACTTCATAATCTGATTTTCATTAATACACTCATAAAGCGTCAAAATAAGCACAAACCAATTCATAATGAAACCTGGGACTGTATGAGCTACAGATGCTACATATTCCAACATTAAGTCTTAATGGAAACTCTACGAAAGTTCATATTGATTGGCTTCTGATTTCCATACGCAAAATTATTTAAGAGCTTAACAAATAAGCTGAATGAGCTGCAAAGGATACAAACTCCAGCATTAAGCCTTAATGGAAAATCAGGGCCGGTCCCTATTGATTGGCTTCTGATTTCTGAACAAAATTATTTCTTACCACTAGAACAACTTACTCAGCATTTGCACCAGTTCGCATATAATTTTGGAAAAAGGGCTCTCTTTCTCCACCTTCCTTTGTCATATGACACTGACAGATTTTTCAAACATTCAATGCAATTCGACAGAAAATCACTTCAAACAAACGATACGATTACCAAAAGAGGAGAACTTTAACAAACATTGTCTAACAATTCATCAACTCAAATGATACAATGTACTCCAAAAACAATATATAACAACACCACAACAAACAAATATATATAACCCCAAATCAAACCAGCAAAATCCATAGAAGTTCAGATAGCTGATTATTTCGGGTTCATTTCGCATTCAACGAACAGAAACTACTTAATCGATCATTATCATCAGATTTGGTCACTGAAAAATGCAATCTTTACCTGACAAAGGTTAACATCTGAAGCCCAAGAAACCCTTTTCGAATTCTTCAATCCCCGCATGTTAAACATTATCCCAAGAACCCTTCTTTTCCAGCTTCAATTCCCAGTTTTACTCACGGTTTCAAATTCAACTCATCAATTTCGGGTCTCAATCGAAATCTAAAAACGCTACTGCTCTCAGATTCCGAACCCTAGTTCCTACTGCGTCGTCGGCGTCAAAAATCCCTCTTTTTATAACCCTAATCGTACAGATTTTACGCGATCCAATTGCAGAGCGACTCTCTGTGTGTCGCGAAACGGCGATCGCAATCGCTGCGGTTCATCAAACGAAATGAAACCCTACAAAATCAAAATTCCTCTGGTTTTTGGGCTTCGGCGTTTTTCCTCCTCCTCCTTTTATTATCCTTTTTTTTTTTTTGGTCATTTAAATGAGCGCGTGGAGTGACTGATATTTTTGCCTGCTGCGAAGATGCCTATCACGCGCTGGTAATGCGAAGCGGGGTTTTTTCGATTTACTTGGTTTCGGGTGGGCTAAGATTTTTGACCGCGGCCTATAGATTGTACGAGAATGATGTTTCAAGTGTTTTTAACTTGTTTTTTTGAAGAGCTCTTTTTTTTTTTTTTTGAAGAGCTGTTCTTAACTTGTTTGAACTAACACGCTTGGTGCTGTGTTTGGAACAAATTTTAAGTTCATATTCACACGAAAGATTTTATGTTCGATTTTAGTTTATTGAATTACAAGATGGTGGCCAAGAGAATGTTGAAATGACTTTAAAAAAGAGTAGAAAGCCGTGATGAAGCCACCAACTGGTTCCTTTTATAAAGAAATGAAAAACATAGTGTTTTAACTTGTTTGGACCAAAAAAAATTTGTGTTTTGTATAAAAATAATAAGGTTTTATTATGTTTCCATGTATAGTATGCACCAAACAACGATCTCGACATATACACAAGTGTACACTATATTTTTTTTTTAACATTGGCCTGATATTCTAAGCTTTGCAAAACAATATGTACCAAAAGATAGAAAAAAGTCCAACACTTACAAGATTGGATTGCGGTCATGTGGTTTTGTTTGTATGTTATAATATGAGCGAATATATTAATAAAATGGAACGAACGTGGAGAGATTTATGATGTTGCCGTCTTCATTGTGTTGGCTACCGATTTATAGGCCGTTTTCTCACCATTCAGGTATGAATATACAGTTATAAAACAAGTTTTATCTTTATTACATGCATGCACTGCATTCGCTTTTGGAGTACAACGGAGCGCTTACGGCACAACGAAGGTTTGGCCTCTTCCGAACAATCGGGGTTCACCTTCTTGGCATGCAGGATCACCGGCGTCAAAACGGCACCACTAGGGCGGCCGTGGGGACCCTATTCGGCAGTTGCTTTGCGTATACTTACACGTCCGACGTGATTCTCCCAGAAGGCTGGGACAGACGGGAGACTAGCACCCAACAACTTCAGTCATGTTTACTACGGGGAACACAAATGCTATGGACCGGGAGACGAGACATCACAGAGAGTCACAAAGCCTTAAAAAATAACAAGTTACACCCTTATTTGCTCAAGCGAGTGCCCTTCGATCCGAAAGCTGGCAAGGTCGTCGGCCTCTCCTTCATCCTTACGGAGCAGGACAAGGAAATCTGGACGGTAAGAACAAGATAGACAGACGAGCGGAGGCTCCCACCCCCATCGGAGAGGACGTCGGGGTAGGTTGGGACACAGAGGAACGGAGTGGAGCGGGGGGTGTCGATCAGCGGGAGTGGAGTAGAGGGTATGTCGAGCAGCGGGATTTTTCTCTCTTCTTTTGGTTACAAAAAGAAATTCGCATACTAAGAATCAATTAGAACATGACAAGTGACTACCTCGATCAGTTTGCAAACATTTGTTTAGAAAACGATCGAAAAAATGCAATAATTAACATTATGAAATAAAGCAAACAAAGAAATAAGAGAACATTGAGTATTATTACAATAAAACCTGGCAAAAAGCTTCCAAAAGCCCTTGGCCTTATAGTTTGCCCCAAACTTTGGATAACCAAACCAAAGCATCTGTACCATACCCAAATCATATCACACAGCAGATTATACCGTTTGGAACAAGAAACAGAAAACCAACTGTAAAAAAGAATAAGAAAAATTTACATGAAAGCGTCACTCGGTGTCTTGTATTTATAAAAAGAAAACCCTGTAACTAGCGTCGTTAATCAGGCGCTATCCAAGTCGAAAAAAGCTAGTTACAATCTGAAGGACTACCAGTCATGTAATCATCAGACTCCGCATTTCCTGTTAGGGACTGGTCATCGGCACTGTTCCCTTTGAGATGTTCGATTACTTCGATTCTTCACCTGTTCCATTTTCTCTCTGAAAGAAGTAGCACTCAAGCAGTAAGAAATCGGTTTGTAATGCAGAGATTATACCCAATATGAAATTTTTAGTTATGCGCAATGCAATCAAGTAGATGATTATGCATACCATTTGTCTTTGCACCCGGCTGTGCTTGAGACGTTGACTGCTGGATGCGTGGAGACCCCTGCCTTCCGTTTGTACCAGGTAAGGAATGTCTCTTCTTTACGTTAATGTCTCTGTCTTGCATATCTGGACTCGATCTTGGAGAGGTATTTGTTTGAAGTTTTGCTCTTGCAGATTCTGTGGCTTGCATGAAACGGGGGATGGAACTATTACTACTGCTATGTCTTGGTTCTTGATCAATCTTATCAGCGGCGGGTTTTTCTGAACCAAATGAATTGCGTCTCTTCCCCTTTTTCTGATCTTTATTTGATCCAGAATCTTGGTTTGGGTTAGAGGGCGAATTCTTTCCTGCTGACGCAAACTTACGCTTTTGGTTGGATCCACTCGTATCAGCTTTGCTCCCTTTAGCTTTCACGGATATCAGACTAGACGGTGTTCCTTGGGATTCTGGGACAGTCAAATGGCTTCTTGGAGAAGCTTCTGGGGGTGATGCATATGCTTGAATACCTGCCTCAGGGTCCTGTTCTCTCTGCAGATCAGACTCAGTTCTCTCTGGCTGAGACTCTGCTTGTGGGGAGTCCACAGCAACCACAGAATTTTCGATCTCACCATTAACGACATCATGTTTTTCTGGTTGATCCAAGACTGGATCAGATAAGTTGGAGACTGGGATTGTAGGGAAATCTTTGGCTTGGACATCCACATTTTCGGTGCTGTCAGGATTGCAAATGTCTCCTTCCACTGAAACTTTGGCTCCATGCTCATGTTCCGTAGCTCCAACATCAGATCTGTTAGGCGAATCAACGGTGGAAGAAATGGAGATTTCAGTGCCACCCATTTCGGTGCCACACTCAGATCCACCAACTTGAACACTTGATACATGGGTGACTGGGTTTTCTGCCACGTTGAGCTCCTTTCTGATTTCAGTATCCACTGCAGATGAGAATGTGTCCCTTTGTAATTCACTTGCAGCATCATCTTGATGGGATGGACTAATTGATCTACCTGAATTGGTAGTTGAACTCAGCACTTCAAATTTTGACTGTGCAGCAATAAATGCAGGATTACTCACTTTCCCCGATCCAAATACAGATTTCTTTCCTTCAGTTTCTAGTTCCTCTGAGGCTAATCTTTTCATAGAACGTTTAGGTTGTTCAGTTTCTGTGACAGGGTTACCAGAAAAGGACTTGAGCTCCACTTGAGAATCTGCATTTGATTGCACACTTTGATTTGGAAGATAATTTATCTCTTCCGTGATCTCTTTCACATCAGAAGTACTGCTGTTCTCCAACTGAGGCTGTTCACTGTTAGAATGGCTTGCCTGAAAGTTCAAGTTGTCAGCGTCATAAGTAATCAGATTTTCTTCACTTTCAGATGGCACCATTGATTCCGTGATGCTGGACTTTGAGTCTGATATCTCACAAAGAACTTCATCTTGAATTTTAGATTCCCGAGGAGACTCAGAAATTTCTTCCTTTCTTCTTTCCATGACAGGGTTCCCAGAAAAGGACTTGAGCTCCACCTGAGAATATGCATTTGATTGCACACTTTGATTTGGAAGATAATTGATCTCTTCCGTAATCTCTTTCACATCAGATGTACTGTTGTTTTCCAACTGAGGCTGTTCAATATCAGAATGGCTTGCCTGAAAGTTCAAGTTGTCAGCGTCATAAGTAATCGGATTCTCTTCACTTTCAGATGGCACTATTGATTCCGTGATGTTGGACTTTGAGTCTGATATCTCACAAAGAACTTCATCTTGAATTTTAGATTCCCAAGGGGATTCAGAAATTTCTTCCATTCTTCTTTCCTGTTTCTTTATTGCTGCCACTGCTTTTTCTGACTCTGCAATATCCTCCGTTGACGGCGATGATAGTGACGTCCATCTCTCCATCCATTCCCAAAAAGAGCCGGGATTAGAGGAATCACACTTGGCATGCATAGGTTTGGTCTTCGGTGATGATTCCAACAACTTAAATTCAAAAAGTATGAGTTTAGGTAGGATAATGAATGAAAGATAAATTAGTCCACAATGCAGTTGCAAAGCACAGAAGAGAAAGATTTCAAAGTATACCCGGCGGGCAAAACTATTGCTAAGTAGCTTGTCAATTGAAGTGTATGTTATATTCGATTTGGCCTTCTCCTGAAACAGAAAAAATATTCCGGAAAATTCATTAGGAACAAGTAAAAACACTATTAAGTTGTCTCAAACAACATTTCCACATGGATTGTGGGCAGTAATTGCTGCTACAATAACAAATAACTTACAAAAAAAAATTGCAATTGTCAAATAATTACTTATGCTTTATTACAGAAGGTGAATACAACATGCTATTGCATCTCAATGCGATAAACTAACCTCCCAACGTTGAAGATCTTATAACACTGAATCACGACAAATTTCAGTTATCCATAAATGTATTATGTACCACTACAGTCTACAGTAGCATCTCGATGCGATTAGCTAACTACCTCACAATGTTGGAGATCTTTATGAAATTGAATTGCAACAAATTTCAATTATTAGTTGACATTTTCGTATTGAAATTCGAACAATCCATTCATTACCAAAAACTCAGAATTTGAATACAACATGCAATTTAAGAGGAAGGCTATCTCTATCAAACAGCGCCTAGATATTTGGATTACATACATTTTTTTTTTACGACTACGGTTAGTATTCTGTGTTACCATTACTCTGACTTGTTCCTATTGGCTTGACCATGGACAGTTGACATAAGTTAACAGCCACCATACAAACTACCATCAAATAACTTATGAAGTTATGAACCAGATCACTTAACGCAAGAAAATATGTGAATAATGACCCTATAGAGAGCAGATTATACTAATTTCAGTTGAGTGGCATACCGAGATATTAGAGTTATGGTCTATCACCTGACAAGCACGGCGAGCACGAACAAGAGCTTGCATTTTCACAAGAGCTTGAACACATCGTAAAGTTCCCACGGCATGCCTACGGACCAAATGCCCACGAACAGCAGCTTGCAACTTAACAACATTCTCAAGCTCCATGAACGATTTCTGATCCTGGTTAATAATACAGTAAACATATTATTCGGAATGCTACTAATTATAAACTTCAGAATTCATCTATATCGACAGGAAAAATTACCAGCAATCCTCTGGAAGCTGTCTGCACAACAATAACATCATACTCATCCGATTTGCATTTGACTGCACTTTCATCTTCTGTGACATTTTCAGTATTGGATACTTTGGGTTCAGTCTCGGGTTCTTTAGGTTCAGTCTCGGGTACGTTCGGTTCAGTCTCGGGTACTTTCGGTTCAGTCTCCGGTGCTTTCCCTTCAGCTTCAGCTATGTAAGGTTCAGTCTCCGGTGCCTTCCCTTCAGCTTCTGCTACGTTCAGTTCAGTCTCCGGTGCTTTCTGTTCAGCTTTAGGTACGTTCAGTTCAATCTCCGGTAATTTCGGTTCATTCTCCGGTGCTTTCCCTTCAGCTTCTGGTACGTTCGGTTCAGTCTCCGGTGCTTTCTGTTCAGCTTCAGGTACGTTCGGTTCAGTCTCAAGTACTTTTGGTTCAGTCTGGGATACCTTCTGTTCAGTCTCAGATACTTTTGGGTTCTCAGGAGTTACCAACTGGGGTTTCTCATCACTGCAATGTATTAACGATATCTTTTCTGGAACAGTAGCGCTCGCTGATTCCGGGCTCTCCTTATGTCCGGAAGTGGGCGTCTCTGTGATGACAGTGTTGCTCAACACTCGATGCCGTGCAGCTCTCTTTCGGAAACTCCATCCGCGCTTGTCACTCGGACTCTTGCTCTAAAATAAACCGAAACAACATCGATCAACACACCACGCACACAGATAACAAAGTGCTCAACGAAGCAACTTCTGCAACAGGCAATTTAAACGAACCATAACAACAAAATCAACGCCGTTCGTCACATCAACTAATGGACCAATTTCGAATGGCAGTTACGATGAACCATATATGCTTTTGAATCACACGATTTTCGGGCAATTAACAGACAGATAATTAGGATTACATTTATCCAACTTATACTAAAGGCTCGTTTGGATGTGCTTTTAAAATTTTACAAAAAATGTTTTTGGTTTCCAAGAGCAATTGAAGTTCTTTCTGCAAGCACCAGTTATGTGCTTCTTCAGGAAGCACTTGCTTTTTCAGGATTTACTTACATTTTTCACCAAAAGCGCTTTCAGTCATTTTAAAATCACATTCAAACGAGCAATCAGCAAACGTTACACACAAACTACTCAAACATAAAGATAATCTAAGGTTTTTCGCAATCCGAAAATCGTAATTACAAGTGCCAGTTCAATTCCTAATCAAATAACAGCTCCTAATGCTCCGTTTGGTAACACGAAACAAACAGAATTTAAGCAGTTAAATGCACATCAGATTCTTCAGATCTTCATAGAAAAGCCATTAATCTCTCGAAATCCAAACAGAGAAGTAGCTGCTACAAACATATAAATTAACGAAACGCAAATCGAAACAGACCAATTGAATCATACGCAGCAACGAAACCAAAGACGGAAAGTCATGAGAAACATCGAAATGCACAAACCGTGAAGTAACGAGAATACCTCGGGAGCTTCGAGATCATCGTTGTCCGCTGAATCCTTACCGCAGGCGATAATTTGGAAGCAAGAGGTGGATTTCCCCATTTTCTTCATCTTCCTTCACTCCTCTCTCTCTCGCTCGCTCGCTCGCTGGCTGTTTCTCTCTCTGAAAAGACAGAGACACACACGCACACTCTCTCTCTCTCTCTTGATCCTCGAGAGACAAAACCGCCTACGTTGTTGCACTGTTGCGAAATGCGACAAATTTAGTAGCTTCAGAACACGGACCTCAACACACTCCTTAAATCTGGCTAAAAGTATTTTCTGGAGTCCGCCATTTAACAGGTCCGTTGCGCTTCTGCGGCCTGCCAGTGGAAAGGAAGGAAGTATAATTTTATTTTATTTTTAAAAAGAAAAAAATAAAAAAGAAAAAGGAAAGCTGTCAGTCGTCTATTTTTTTTTTATTTTTTAAATAATATGTTGATTATAAATTGAACCCCCCCCCCCGTCTTAAGTGGTTGTTTCACTTTAGTCCTTGCATAATATTTGTCAGCTGTCAAGTTGGTCTGTACTTTTAAGAATGTGTTAGTTGTGCGCAACATGACATCAATTTACAAAAGTTGCCAAGTCGAGTGGTGGTGTAATCGTATGCAGGAAGCTTTGTAGCTACCAACGACTTGTGTATTCGACAATGTAAAATTAGTTCTTGAACTTTTAAGAATATGTTAAGTATGGGCAATGATGACGTCATTACAAGAACTGTCAAATTTAGTGGCAATTCGATCAATTTGATAGTTTTGTTGTTTGGAACATGCCATGAGTTCGACAATGTCAATTTGGTTCATGAACTTTCAAGAATGTGTTAAATACGGACAACGGTGTCTTCAGTTACAAAAGTTGCCAAATCTAGTGGCGGGTTCAAGTATATTCGATAGGTTTTTTTTGTTTGGAACGACCCATGAAAAATGTCTAGTCGATCCTTAAACTTTAAGCATGTTTTAAGTACGGACAATAGTAGTTTCTATTACAAAAACTGTCAAATATAATGATGTGTGACACTTAACTGTCAGTGTTTTGATAGAATATCGAGATAGATTTTGACACAGATAAAGTTGTTAGTCATGTATATTTAATAAATGGATGAAGATGGACAGTAAATCTATGTTGCTAAGGTGCTCAACGAAGGAAAGGGATCCTCTCCAAATCCCTTCCACCACATCCACCAAACCCACCAATCTGGGCCCTTGAAATTTAATTTAACGACTAAAGTTATTATAACTTTTAAAGGGCCCCCTGTTTTTAGCCGTTGATCAAATTTCAAGGGTTCGGATTGATGGGTTTTGTGGATTTGGTGGAAGGGATCCGGAGAGAATCTATTTCCCTCAACAAACCAATGTAACACTGACACTGACCACTCACATTAAGGTACATTTACTAAGTCGATTACTCCTTAATACCAAAGCTAGTTTTTTAAGTTCAGTAAATGTTAGGCCTACTCAATTTATTTATGTCAACTATAACTTGTAAGAAAAACTATTTTTTGCCGTTATTAAACATGTTTTCAACTTGCCCCAGGAAAAAATATATATTTTCGCATTGTAATAGCATAAAACGTACTTTCAAAGGTTACGGCACCAAATTGAAAAGATCCTCAAAATTTATGAGGCAAATTGTAAAATGAGAATATCTTATCCAGCCGTTGGTCACGGCTGACGAAAATCTCGAGAAATTGCGTTTACCGGGGGAAATTGGACAAGTTACCGTTAAAAATAATAGCATTTATTTTTGTGCAAATGACGGTTTATTGGGCACTCATTCTTTTGTGATTACACTTCAAACTACAAAGTCCAAAGTGGAGTTTTTTTTTTGGCCCACCCCACTAATTATTGCCTTTTTTCTATTACAACCCACTTCTAACTATGATTATGATGGGTGATTAAAATTTAATGGGTAAGAGAGTATATAATTGCATAAGAAGAAATTTTAGACAGCGTACGTATTACTTTTTGGTGTCTATCCGATATGTCAAATTAAAATACTATTTTATTACGTTGAATTACTATTATAAATGTTTTAAAACAAAAAATAATAATAATAAAATGCATTTAGTAATCCATTAAAAAATGATTTGAAGTTGCTATCAATTTTGACAGCAAGGGTTAGGACTATCAATGCATGTCATGCCACATCAGATTTGACTTTTTAGTTGAAAAAACATTATTGTCGTTACTGATTTGGACATTTAATATCTTCTTTTGGAGATGCTCTAATAGGTCATGTAGCTATGAAGTGGAGGAAAAAATCATATAAGATTAAAATATATTTATATTTATATTTAAGTAGTCGTTTACTTTAGTGGATATGACTTTTTTTCACCTCAATGCATCTCGTGTCTAGAGTAGTATTTAGACTATGAATATTGCTTATAATAAAAATATGTTTAGAAAAACTTGTCAAGAGATCAAAGCCACGTCACATTTTAGAATGCATTCGCATCTTCTTATGAAGTTATGATACAGTTAAAATGTTTGAGTAAATTCCTAGAACTAAATTATACCACGTAACTTTTCACATAGTTTCACCGCCATTCTTTATCTTCAATAGCACCGAGTTTGATCTTTGTACTGTAATTTGAAAGTATCTTCCAAATTTTATAAGTTCGTTGAAGAAAGTGGTGGAGGAAAATGATTTGAGTTAGAAATTTCAACCCACCTTGTTTGTTTTGGTATTTGTTTCTATTTGTAGGCTTATCTTTGGTGTTAGCAACTTGATTAATCATAAACCAATACATTTGTCCCTCAAAGGATGTGATATAGGGATATGATTAGTAAACGGATTATAGATACGATAGATTAGGCAAATTGCTCTCAACCCTACCAACCATTACACTATTCAAACCTATCCGCGACAAGAACTAGATTATCACGAAAATAAGGACATGATTGAGAAATAAAAAAACAAAAAAACAACGGTATGTTTTGAGGATGAGTGGGCCCAAAAGTTGCTTTTCATGTGAGAGGATCTCCCACAACAATAAGATGATGAAGAAGGAGAATAATATAAATGAATACGGTGGTGTCCTAGTAAGAGGCAGATTTCAACCTGTAATGAGCCTGTCTGTATCACGTGATGAGAAATATACTAATAATTAAAGAGATATACGCCGATTCCTACAAAGGCGAGTAATATCAAAACCCCGAAATCGTCTTGTACTTTTATAATACTAACTCATCGGATGACGCATGTCAATGTATTCTTTCTTGAAGTATTTTTCTTTTTGTAAATAAAGCGAAGGGTAGTAACGAGGTTGTTAAGTAAGAGAAATTTTTTAGTGTACTCAACATAAAACGATACATCACATTTCATTATATAATTAAATTTAAGTTTTCTTCTAAATGTCTTCAATTATATAACAAGTGGCTTATCGTTCCGTATTCCGACACACTAAAAATCTCTCGCCAAATTGACCAAAAAAAAAAAATCTCTCGCCATGTAATATTGTTTCCTTTAGCAAATAATGTTGGCCTATTGCTGTTGGTCTCCAGTAGCCAGTGGCCAACGAACTATTGGCAGCTCTTTTGTCCTCACGTTCCACGTGTTTGACTGGCTGCGGGACACGTGGATCACATGGGAATCTGAGATGGTCCACAATTTAAGCTGCGAAACGCAAATCGGTTGCTATGAATCTGTCACGTGCGGACCCCACCACCAATTACTGTACAACTCTGAGACTGACGTCTTCGCTCTCTGATTTTCATGGTGGCGGGTTGCACCTGCTCTGATCTGCTCCGCGGCCCCATAACTGCACAAACGACTCGCCGCCGCACAGTTGAAATTTGGCCTCCAATGTTACTAGATAAGACCATCTTCAACCGAAAAAGAATCAGATGGCTCGTTTTAGATCTGTAACAATTCAAAAAATTAATATTTTAATTAACAGTATCAGACAATATTTCTTACCATATCCAATCGATGGGCCAATGGGCCTTAGGCCAAACATAGCCCTGTGATAAAAAATTATATCCAACAGAGAGGGTCAAAGGGTCATAGGCAGTGGCGGAGCCACATGGAGACCAAGATGGGCACGGGCCTATCTTGAAATATTAGTTTATATACCTTATCTGTTGGTTTTGTAACTAAAGAATCTGCGGCTCGGTGGTTGAAGGGGTTTTTGTGTTCCTGCACGTCAGGGGTTCGAAATTTGCTGGTGAACCTCGTTCAAGTTCTTTATCAGCAATTATTTTTTTGGTTAGTTGATACAGAACAAGGTTAATTTATGTTGAAGAAAAATCTCATAATAATAGTATTGAGCCATAATTTTAAATTTTTGTTTGAAATTAATGTTAACTTTATTGTTAATCTCGTAACAAGTTTTGTTTTTATGATATAATTATTTTAATACTAAATTTTTCATACATGTTAAAGATCTACCAACCTTTTTATTAAAATTTTTCATGCCATACAAAAAAGGAACCTTTAATTTTCTCTCATTAGTTATATTGCTATATTTTTTGTCTCATTTTGTTTATATGATTTAAAGGCCCCTCCTAGTCTGAATTCTTGGCTCCGCCACTGGTCATAGGACCAAACATAATTTATTATTTTAATTGAATTATTATGGTTACTTAAATTGAACTACATCAATAATTTTTCGAGATGGAATGTCAATAATTAAGTTTTATGTTGTTTAATGTTACTTAATGTTATTTAATGTTGTTTTATGTTGTTAAATGTTTTTTTAATGTTGTTTAAGTTTAATGTTATTTAATGTTTGTTTAATTTGTTTAATTTTGTTTAATGTGTTTAATTAATGTTATTTAATGTTGTTTAATGTTGTTAAATGTTTTTTTTAATGTTGTTTAAGTGTAATGTCATTTAATGTTGTTTAATGGCTTAGGTAGTTATAGGAAAAAAATTAGAATTTTTAAATATTTTAAAAAAAAAAATTGTAATAATAAAAAAATGAAAAATCAAATTTAACGGCTAGCTGACGTTAGCAAGTAGCCTTTGGATTCAAATGCTTGGGCCAGCCTGGGGCTAGCTGGCTGGCTCCTTTGGGTCAACGGGTTGGCCTAATTCCTCTTTTTTGGCATGGTGAGGCCCACGAGCCCTCTGGCCTAGCCCTCGGTTGGAGATAGTTTTCGTGTCATTTCGGGCTATTTTCGATCCTCTTGTCGGATCGGTTGGAGATGGCCTAACTTGCTTGCAACCGAGACGTTATATCTTAAGTTCATCACGTGTACTCAAATGTTTTAATTTATTTATATAATTGTGGAATTAATTTATGATACGATGGTTTGGCTGGATATAAATTTTTACCAGATTGAAACTCGAGAGCATTATGTT